TGTGTGTGTGTGTGTGTGTGTGTGTGTACAGTCCACTTACCATGAAGGGCGAAACGTCTTGGCACAAAGTCCAGATGACCTGACTGAACATTGTTGGATTCCCTCAATTCATGCAAAGCATTTCTCTTTAAAATCTGCTTGTGCGTACTTGCTTTATTTTTGTCTTGTACTTTTATAATTTAGCTATTGTTTTGCTACACTTAACTTTTAGGACAGAACTATCTTTATTCTACCTTTAGCTATCATTCTGCCTATTTTTTTGCTACAGTTTGTTACACTTAACTTTTAGCTACCATTTTTTTTTCTTGTTTAGCTATAATTCTGCTGCTTTTAACTACAGTTTTGCTACCCTTTGTTTCTTTAAGTTTACGGCTTTTTAGCTAGTGTTTGGCTAATTTTAACTCAAACATTTTTTTTAATTCTTCCTACTGTTTTGCTTATTTTAACAGCTTTTACCCAATTCTAGCATATGTTTAGCTAATTTTAGCACTTGATTTCCTAATTTTGGCTACTGAATTACTGTATTTTCAGCTGTACATGTCGCACCACACTATAAGTCGCATCAACCAAATATGTCTAATAAAGTGGAAAAATCCATAAATATGTTGCTTCGCTGTGCACGCCGCAGGGCAGGCAAATTATGAAAATAAATAAATAAAGCGACATATAGGCCAAAAAATACGGTACTTGTTCTCTCCTTAGCAACCAATTTCCTGCTTTTAGCTTCAGCTTAGCTGCTTTTAGCTTATCCTACTGCTGCGTTCAGCTTGTGTCTTGCCATTTTTCCATTCAGGTTCAGTTCATTTTATCCTCTGTTGTGGTTGTCATAACTGTAACAATTCTGTTTCAGCTTATACAAATTTCAGCAAACTCATTCAACTTAGCTTTCACAGAAAATGAAAATTCTCTTCGGTGTCTACCTTCAGCGATGGCCCCCAGCACCAAGATGCCAGACTCTTTGATGACCCAGTCCGGATGGAAAAGCAAGCCTTTGAGCAGGGGTAGGAGATGGGGAAGCAACTCCTCGCGGAACACATTAGCCAGAACGTCCAGAGCTGCAGCAGAACATTTACCTGGCAGGGAGAAAGCATTTGTCCAATAATCAGATTACTGTGAAGTAAAAATATATAAACGCCTCCTGAAAATAATTTTTAATCAACACTTATAACCATAACATCATATAACGATACAAAAACAGCAGTTTTCTAAGCTGATTGATGTCTGAAATTTGTAAAACTGATCGAGCCCTTCTGTTTTTCCCCCATAAGTTTTATTTTTTTTACATTTTCTTCAGAACAGCACCAATACTACTGATTTATTGACAGTGAAAACAAACAAAAAATAATTTCCAGGTCACTGAACAGAGGTATAAATGCAAATTGTAAAAATTTAAATACAAAAAAAAAAAGAATAATCATATTTCCCCTTGAAGCCAGATTCTAACACCTAAACATACTTTTTGAGCAACTCAAAACCTGCATCCACTTTCTTTGGTGTGAGTTTTGACATTTGTTTTCATAAAGTTCTCAAATCAAAATCATAAAAAAATATATATTGGCAAGATGTAATTTCTTGATGTTTAAATCATTTTATGGTGACTATAAATCATGTAATAAAAGTGTCAACAAAAAAACAGCTAGCTAAAATCCAAAAGCCTCCATGATTCCTAATATTTAAACTCTATTATCTACTTAATTACCGGTACTTGTTTACGGCTCTTAGCTGCTCAGTGATCCACTTGTGTGTGTCACGCATGTGTTGACAGGTCAAATGCAGAGAACAAATCCTCTCTTTGCATGAAAACATAAAATGATGACAACAAAACGCTTCCTTCTTCTTGCTGTTAACACCTGCTGTAACTGGTGGACAGTAACTTACGAAGATTCCAGTCAGACAAAGTATCGTCATCGTCGTCCTCATCCTCATCGATGTCCTCCCCCTCCTCGCCTTCCCCTCCTTCGTGCTGCAGAGTCACGGTGCGAGACTTGTGGAAGCGAGGCTTGATGTCTTGCTCGCTGTCTGGAATTGTCTCATCTTCTTCAACGTCTCCCTGGGGAACAACAGAAATGAGGGTTGGATGTAAAAGCACCAAGATTAGAGGACGACGGTGTGAACAGCACTTGATTTCTTGAGGATGCGTACCTTTAGAAGAATAATATCTATCTCAGAGTATTTCATCCCATTTACCAAGATAGGAATCAGTCTAAGGAAAGAAAAAAAGTCGGATGAGATCATCTTGTCACATTCCAGTCCAGCATGCTGTCGGCATGAGAACACTTACTGAACCAAGTGACCAGACAGAGCCTCTTTACAGATGGGCTGCTCAGCCAGAGTCAGCCAGAACTCACAAGCTTCCAGAGCCACATTTTCATCTGGGTCCTGAGTCCGCTGCAGCATGTACTGGAAACAAGAAGACATTAACAGGCCATCCTCCAGAGAAGAGACATTTATGATGATGGGAGATGGAGCTGCAGCCTCACCTGGATGATGCTGTGCATGTGCGGGATGAGGCGGTCAATGCGAACTTCCAGCAGCATGACCAGAGCTCTGCAAACGTTCTTCCGAACTTCACTGTCTTCATCGCCAGCCAGAGCAAACAGACTCTGCAAAGGAAGAAGGACAAAACACAAAAAAATGTTTGCAAAAGAAGCAAGAAGCACACAGGGGCAACTCGCATACAGGAAAATGAGAAGTTGTGTAGAAAAGGACAAATGTGCAGAAAATTGTGCAAATGTGTAAATAATTTGCAGTGTTTTGACACATTTACAGTATCTAGGATTTCTTACAGAACAAATAGCTGCAGCACTCTGTAGCTTTTATTAAAATGGTGGAAATTGATCTTGAAAGTAGAGATGCACCGATCCGACATTAGTATCAGTATCGGTACCAATAATGGGAGGGAAAAATAATAATAACAATAATTGGATCGGGTATCTGCAGCGATGCACCGAGCCGATACAAGCATCGGTATCGAAAACATTCTTGATTGGGTATCGTGACAACGTGATCGATCCATAAGGACAAGAGCTGACTGCTGTTTATTTTAAATATCTCACAACCAAGCTAGTGAAGATTTTATTTCCTCTTATTTCAGCTCCTTATTTATTTTACATTATATTTAGAATTCCTGAACCATTTGAAAGGTTTGTTGAAATTCACTTTTTCATGTTTGACTAAAGTTGTCAACCTGTCGTTTTTGTAAGTTTCAGTATCTTTCTTGTTATTTATTTTACACTGAATGTTGTACTCATAAATGCACTGACTGATTGGTGTCAGCCTCCCCACCATCACAGACATCTACACCTCCAGATGCAGGAAGAGGGCCACCTGCATCATGAAGGACCCCACACACCCAGCACACACACTTTTTGCCCCGCTCCCCTCAGGCAGAAGGCTGAGGAACAGCTTCTACCCTGAGGCTGTTAGACTCATGAATCTCTAACCAGGAAAAATCACTGTGGGAAAACCCCCCTGAAAAATCGCTGTAATTCCACTTGATTGTTGATATGTGCTGCTGACTATCCATGATGCTGATCATTTCATGTTGCTGTGTTCGCAGAGAAATTAAGCTGATTTGACGGTTTCTCCAGGCGAGTTGGACAAAGGTGGCAGACTGTGGCAAGCCGACTGTGTCATTAATAGACACGTTACGTATTACATGACACAATGACATGCCATATAACTCTGGTGCCATCTAGCGGCTGAAAATGAGAGTGTTCAATATTTTCAGTCAGAATGAATGAAAACGGTCATAGCTCAGCCAAAAATTGGTTTATAAATATGGGAAAAATTCATAAATACGTTGCTTCGGCGTGTAAGTCTCAGGGCATGCAAATTACGCAAAAAAAAAAAAAAAAAAACCTGCGCCTTATAGAGCGAAAAATATGGTAATCAGTTTCTCCAAGTTAACATTTTAATATAATATCACCACAATCTTTTGTACAAACAGCTCCAGGCTACCCAGATCTGTAAGAGCAGCACTACAGTTTCCACTGGGACCTAAAATACTAACGTCTGCTTCATCATCACTGAAACTTTAAAAAGTTAGAAGCCATTCGATGTTTGGCCACGTGAAACCACCGTTGAAACAAAATCCCCACTTTTGATTTGGCTGCAATTTGGGTCATATTTGAGCAGAACTGTGGGAACATGTTTTAATGTGGAGGTGTTGTTCAAAACAAATTAAAGCTGTTCTTATTTTCTTTATTAATTATTTTTAATGTATTTAAACACATCGCATGCATCTTCAGGCATCCATTAGGTCACAGCCATTATATTGGAGGTTCTATGAAGACAAACTGAACTGCTCACCTCAATGAAAGTGTCAATGTTATCCATCAGAGCCTGAGCTCGGCCAATGATGAACTGATTCACACAAGCGATTGCATGAGATCTGAAAGGGGGGGAGAAAGTTGTTTTATTGAGACGATTCACCGCTGAAGACAAGAAGCTAGTCCAGACAGCAGAGCGGTTTCACTAACCTGATCTTGGGGCTGCAGTGTTTGAAGAACTGGAGAAATTTAGGAATCATGATATTGAGAGGTCTGTTGAGAGCGTCGCTATCCAACAGCTCTGATGAATCTTCACAGATCTTCTGTAGCGCTCCAAAAGAACCCTAAAGAAAAGAGGAAAAAAAAAAAAACTCAGATGAAAAAATAACAAGTATAGATTGTAAATTCCCGTTGAAAATTGTTGTACGTTACCTCACAGGTGTTATAGTCCTCAGAGTTAAGTAGATTACAAAGCTGAGGCAGGAGCTCTGGCCAAGTCTGCAGCTCTCCTTTAGATGCTATTGTTGTGATCAAAATGCCTTCATGACAGTAGAAAAGCTCATAAATGTTCCATTAACTCCCAGGAGTAACAAAGACACCATTAAAATACTGCATTTTTACCCACACAGCAACTTTACATGCTAAAATTCAGCTTCCCACGATAATCACTCACACTACAAAATGAAAAGCTTACTCCGTTTTCTTTCTTTCCTGTTTCACTCACACACACACACACACACACACACACCGATTGTAGCTCTGATGAGTGGCGAAGGATCTCCAATGTTGTTGAGGCATTCTCGCTTGATGAAATCGGCCACATTCGAAGGGAAGTTCTGGTAGTGAGCTTTGACGTTGTTCTTCAAAATCAGACCACTCAGAGAGCGAGTGGGCTCGTCTTCAGTGGGAAGAACACAGAGAAAAGAGCATTTTAAAGTGTGACCAAGAGGATAGACAGAAACGTTGGTCGAGGATGAGCAAAGTTACAGAGAACATCGAGTCACTACCGATGTTTTATTGTTGATGTTCCTAATTTATGATGCGTTTACATACCCTCAGATTTGAGGCTTGTGAGGACAAAAATGAGATAGTTGTTGAAGTCAGGAAACTGGTTAAGCTGCTCCAGTTTCTGCAGGAACTGTTAAAGAATTTCATCACTAGAAGTGCAAAATATTAATACGCCATCATACAATTTTAGCTTCTGTTTAAGCCACGGGTACCAAAGTGCGGTCCGCGGGCCATTTGCGGCCCTTGGAGTCATTTTGTGTGGTCCACAGCTGCAGTTTAAGATGGTATCATTTTAGCCAGCAGACTTAGTTCTATGCAGACTTTCTGCAAATAAGTTGGTAATCCTTTTTTATTTAATGTTTAGGTTTAACAGCAAAGCATTCTTCTCAAAATGAGCAATATTAAGCAAAATATAAACCTTTGGCTGTAATCTTTTTATTTTCACTTCATGGTAAACCTTTACTGATTTCTAGCAGAAAGGAGATTTTTGGATAATGATTCATAAAACTTGGCTAAATATTGCAGTTGATACAATAATCAAGAGGGAAACTGGACATTTTTAAATAAATATAATGTGGTATCATCTACATACGAGTTGATCAACTTTATCAATCCTATGCATATTAGGGCTGGGCGATATCTTAATATTTTAAAAATATCGAGAATTTCATACGAGATATGAAATGAGACTATATCAATATAAAACCATATAGTCTCATACTGTACGTAGTTATAATTATACTTGAAAATCCGTGTTTTTCTCCCAGTCTGCACCTTCACGCAGCCCCTCCTCCTCTCACTTACTGAATACAAACCCAGCCCCTCCCCCGCCTCCTGCTGTGTAAAACTGTGCTGCTGTTGCAGCTCCCACTGTGAACAAGCTAGATGCATATGCAGATATCAGTCGTCGCAATAGGTCTTTGTTCACAGTGGAGACACTCTGGTGACATGGATGTAAATTCCTGACAGGTGAGAAAATGACTGGGTAGCTGCTACAAAGGAGGAGTTTGGTGTTCAAGAAATGAACTGGTTTATAGCGGCATGGTATGAAGTTGTCTTCCCGTTAAAAAACATGGAGACAAATATCCAGCTTAGGGTGATTTTTTTTGCTGTGGTTCTTCTGGTATTTACACACAGCGGTAATTAGTGAAGCACAAACAAAAGCTCTAACAGCAAGGCTCCATCGATGTCAAGAGAGAAAAATATCCAAGCACGACATGCAGCACAGCACTTTACACAGAGCGATGCATTCAGTAGCATTGGAACAGCCACGGTGCATTCAAGAGCATTAGGAACCATGAAATTCAGAAAGAAACAAGCCATAACCAAACAGAACAAAGCTCAGTAAACAAGCCAACTACACAACAATGTGAACTTTCTAACAGCTTTGTTATTAAAGATTAAATGAATATACTTCATTAGAATCAGACTTGTTAAAGAGCAAGTCAACCTTTCATTATGTTATGTTTTGTGTTTAAATTTTAAGTGCACAGCTGTGTTTTAGGTTTTGTTATGCAGGAAAAAAAAAACTGTTTTATTTTTGAGACATTTCTTTTGTACAGTTACAGCTGTTTGTTAATAAAGGTGCCTGTGTGACAATTGGGGCTAAGCTTCGACTCAGAAATATATTTTTGTTATTACTTTATGGAAAGGAAAAAAAATATTGAGATGTATATCATATATCGCCATTCATCTTAAAAATATCAAGATATTAATTTTGGTCCATATCGCCCAGCCCTAATGAATTGTTGTAGCAACTGACAGCTGGAGGATTTTCAGAACTTCCATCAGCGTTTTGGCCGTCCATGGTCCAAAACGCTGATCGATCCCCTTTTAAAAGGACACTTTCTCAAATTACGCTTTTGTTACTGAGAACAGACTAAAATGAACTTTCCAAACATAAACCCAACAAATCAAATCCTTTTTAATTAAAAAAAATATAAGCTTAGTGTTTATGAGGCTTTTAATGTTTTGTATCTAGAACATTTTAAAACTCGTTCTCTACCAAAATTAGTAAACTTTTGTCTTTTCTCCAACATATTGTTCACACTGAGTTAAATTCACATTTTTTGCCCCACGAGTACTTTCATCTGGATAGTTTTGGCCCACATATGAAAACATCTGGATATCCCTGGTTTAAATGGGGTAAATTAATGCCCAATCACCATCTCAGCTCTGTGCACATGGCAACACAAGCATACAGTTTTTGCTGTCACCCATGTCCCAAAAGCTGATGTGGGGGAGGAAATATTTCACACTTTTACTTCTCACTCTCACTGTTCATCACAGTCATCACAGAGGTAAAGGATACTTCTTGAACAGCTCTCTGAGTTGCCGTGTCCGGAGACTGGGAGTCTTTGAGGAGCTGAAGCACCTGCTGCAGACCCTGTTCATCTGGCTGCCACTCCATCCTAAAAAGACACGACACTCATGAGCTGTTAGAATGGAATGTACACATATTTGTGCTCACAGACAAGACGACGAAACAAGCTGCTTATGTGCTATGTCAAGATGGGTGGATTGAGTTCAGCCTCCAACACATTGTTGTGTGAAGAGGTGTGCAGGTAAAGGAGGGTCATGTTTTGGAAAGAGTTATCTGAATGCTTAAAGATGTTTAATAAAGAATAAGAAATGAATCAAGGCAAGTAAAAACAAAATTAAGAATTATTCAACATATTGTATAATAATCAAGTGATTGTTATGTACCTGTAATATGATCACATTTTATAATCAACAGTATTTGGGATCAGAAATGTGACTGTTAGTTGAGAAAAACAGAAGTCGGAGTGGAAAACGCAGAAAGTTAAACAGAGCAGATGTAGCTAAAAGCAAAGTTAAGAAGAGGAAAGCAATTGGGAAGTTGTTTGGTACCTAATCTGTTGCTATGGCCCGTAACTAAGGCCGTTGCTATGGGATGATAAGTAGCAACTAGTCAGAATAGAACGAGTTACAGAAAAAGTCAGTTACAAGGAGAAGGAGTTGTTGAGATTATGGTGGACTCTGGAGAAAAGAGGACAGAGTTGTGTGTGATTTTTATAGCTAGAAAGAATTTGATCAGATCCGAAGAAGCAGAGGCAAGACAGAAGAGTCGACCAGACATGAGTAGCAGAGTGAGAGACCATCCGAGGTCTCAACCCGGATGGTCCAAGGTCAAGTTTTAATTCGGAAAAGCTACATATAAAAGCAGTGCAGCAAGGACGTTAGAACTGTTTATGGACACTCTCTTCCATTTCTCTTCTGAAGACCACTCTACCATGGATGGAAAAGAAGGACAGTTACCTGCTTGTCTCCATCTCAACAAAGACTCAAAGATTTAAAATAAAACGGCTGTGGATCGCAGAGAAAGACAGTAATTGGAAGGCTAAATTCTTAGGATTTATTTTACTTTTTAAAGGATAATTTTTTATTTTTAAATTTAGTTTTCTATTTTCCTTATCTTTCTATTTTACAATGGATGTAACTTGCTTTGCTGCTAAATTTTTGATGCCATAATGAGCTGTACCCCGAAGTAAAACTATCGATTAAAGAAGCAATTCTTTATTCGTCAAAGTCGCAGTATATTGTCCTAAAACAGCTCGTCAACTTGGGAGATTCTGATACAGGACAACTCGCATTAAAATCTTAAAATACCTTTCTAATCATAAACATATATGACGAAAGAAGCAAAAACTGACATAGGACATGATTGTTATGGCCTACCACCAAACAGCAAAGGCAGACAATAATATCTTTGGTTGCGTTTGTGTCTGTTAGCAAACAGTGAACAACTGGATGAAATTAAATGGATCCTTCAAAAAGTAATAACTGGATGTACATGTACTAATTAACTTTGGGACGTTGCTACGCCAATCAGTATTTTCCAACTTAAAAATAGCTATAAGTCCATTTTATACAAAAGAGCTAAATTTTGACTGATGTGGTAGTTGCTCAGACAACATACACCGAGCGTGCTATAGCATAAGACCGTGTTATTTAAACCAACATGGCCATACATTTATAATTTTAATCCAGTTAAATAGACCATGTTTTCCCCTTCTTATTAAAGAACCAGTAGCCTGAGCATAATCAGTCAGTTAAAAGGCAGGACTGTTTTTTTGTGGTTTATTTTTCTGTTTGACCGCAATAGCAAACAGGTACTCAATGATGGTTGACCAGATTATTCTTCTTTTAAATTGAAAACGTCATATCTACCTGGAAAACCTGTATAAGTTTAATAGTGATCTTTAGAAGTTTTATATTTTACTGAATTACATAGAAATTATACTTTTACACATAATATATGGATAACTTAATGCTCTACTCTTGTAGTCCCCGAGACTCAGTGACCTAACCTGTATGAAGGGTGAATGAATACGCTCAGAATACCTTTAGTGAGCCTTGAATGAAATGTAACAAAGGTAGAAGTACGTACAAGCGTTAAATTGTTAAAACTGTATGAGATTACCTTAAATTTGACGTTTAAATTATCTCAATTTTTTTGAAAACCTATGTAAATATTTGAAGTGATGGATCAAAAAAAACAAAAACAAATCGGCTTTATAAATCGTCCGTCGGACGCACTTTAAAAAGATCTGCACAGGCCAGTCAGGAACTTTAAATCGGTCGACATCTACCACTTGTTGTTGCTAATACAGTAGCAGTTAGTAATTGTGACCTAATGAGCGTTTTTCTTCATGAGGCCCAGACGACAGGCGTTAGTTAGCTTAGCGTCGCTAACGTATTAGCACTTAGCTGTGTCACAGGTAGCTAAACACTAATCCAGCGTCAGTTACACAGACGTCACGTTACACATAACACTACCAAAAAGAAACATGAACGATTAATCAAAGCGACTGCGAAAACGATTCAACGGTATGCATAACAGAACAGCAACAGCAAGTAGCATATATGGTTAGCATTATTAAAAGTAGCGCCAAAGGTTTTTACCTTTTTTCTCCGGTGTGGTGGATTTTATACGTTTCTACAGAAAAAAATGCAGCTACGTTGTAAAAACTAACATTAAATAAAACACGACAGCGATCTGAGGCCTAATATACAAAACTGTGATCCCTGTAGGTGTGTGTTTTCTACGCTAGCTTGTATATGACAGAGGCTGCATGCTTTGAGATCGAGCCGGGTGGTTTGTTTGACTCATTTCGGCTTCCGTAGTCAACATTGTTGAACAAGGTGGGACGTTGAAAACACTATTAGGTAATAATATTAATAATATATTAATCTATACATATGTTGGTGTGCAGGTTTAGGAAAAATCTAATTTTTAATGTAACTGCATCCTTTTAGTAAAATAAATATAAATATTATATGTGTTTTTTGTGTTTCACTTTTGACCACAAGATGGTGCTAACTTTCAACTGTTGTAGACCTAAGTACCATGAAGGTGCAGTAATGCAAATACTGTACATTACTGTACAAATGTGGGCAAGAGTGACAGCACTACAAGTTGTAATATTATAAAGAATTTGTTTTTTATATCTATTCAAATAAACTTGAGGTTCATGTCAGAAAAGTGTCTTGAATTATTAAACCATATCTAAATTCCTATTAGATCATGTGCATGTGCATGATGTGATCGCGCGTGCACCAGTGAACCTTCTACTTCCTCAGGCGGCTGAGGCGAGCTGGACTCACCTCCTTCTACAGGTGCGCAGTGCTCCAGCATCAACGTGTGGCATGAAGGCTGCACAGCTGCAGAGAGAAAAGCTTTGCAGAGAGTGGTGAAGGATGCACAGAAGTCTGTTGGAGTCAGCCTCCCCACTATCACAGACATTTACACCTTCAGATGCAGGAAGAGGGCCACCAGCTTCATGAAGGACCACACTCACCCAGCACACACACTTTTTGCCCCGCTCACCTCAGGCAGGAGGTTGCCAAGCATTAAGTGTAGAACCACTAGACTGAGGAACAGCTTCTACCCTAAAGCTGTTAGACTCATGAATCCCTAACCAGAAACATCACTGTAATGCCACTTTAATTTGCGATATGTAACTTTATCTGTGCTGCTGATTATCCATGCTGCTGATCTGTAATTTTAAGCTGCTGTATTCATACCCATCTGCTCACAACAGACATGTTCAGGCTGCTGTTTAATATACCGTATTATATTATATTATTATTGATTAGCATATATCTTAGATCCTTATACACTATTTATTTTTATAGTTTACATTTTTGCTATTTTTTGGGTGTAACTGGGACCTTGAATACACAATTTACTCCCACCTCATGTACCACATGTGATGAAAATTATAATTAAAAAAAACATTGAACCTTGAAGGGTGCCCATTTAAATATGCCTGATAGGATTTTGTCAAACCCTCCCTTTCTATTGTGTAACTGTTTGGTGTCAAGCAACCCAGCCAGGCTTAAGCTACTGCATGTTTTTTTTTTTAAAGCTTTAAAATATTTAGAAAAAAATCAAATAAAATAATGGCATTGCTGCAATGCACAGAAAACGTACTGCATAATTTATTAAGCTTTGATATACTGTATTTTGTTTTGGTTTTATTTGTAAAATTGATTTTTAAACGTGCTAATGGCCTTGACAGCATAAACACAGCAACAATACTTATGTTGAATTTTTGTTAATGTTTAAAGGGCCTCAGAGCTAAATCATTTGCCAAAAGCAATAAATCTGTTTTACTGTTTTTAAAGTTTTTCTTTCTGAAATGAAAGACAACAAAACAAACTAACCAATTACTCGTGTACTGGTTATGATGGAGTAAATGCTGATTATGTATACTTTTATACTTTTGGAACTTTGCAACTATATTTACATTTTACCCACTGAATCAGATCTTTTCAGTTCACTCAAAAATATTGTTCTCTGAAATCTACTTGAGGATACTTGCTCTATTTTTGTCTTCTTATGCTACTTTAACTTGTAGCTAACCAAAGGGAGCAAGAGGTCTTGCTAATTTTACCTTCTAGCTACATTTAGCTTTTATGTTTTGTTTTTTTGGTTTCAGTACCAAAGAAAACTCACCCATCAGTCCTCAATGATTATACCTGTTGCCCTGACATCCCACATCATGAAGGCCCTAGAAAGATTCCTGTTGACCCACCTGACTAAAGAGACAGGCACATATCAGGACCCACTGCAGTTTGCTTATCTGCGTGGACATGGAGTTGAAGATGTCATCATACACCTGCTTCAGCAAACTCACTGTCATCTAGAAAAGGCAGACAGCACTGTGAGAGTCATGTTCTTTGATTTCTCCAGTGCATTTAATACAATCCAGCCTGATTTGCTTTGTCAGAAACTCCAGAAGACTCAGGTGGAGGCCTCATCAATCACCTGGATCAAAGACTACCTGACAAACAGACCACAGTTTGTGAGACCGAAGGGTTGTGTGTCTAACCAGGTGGTCAATAGCTCAGGAGCACCACAGGGGACTGTACTCTCACCATTCCTTTTCACTATGTACACCTCAGATTTCCAGTTCAAAACAGACTCCTGTCGTCTGCTGAATATTCAGATGACTCTGCAGTGGTCGGGTGTATCAGAGACGGACAAGAAGCTGAGTACAGGGAACTGGTGGACCGCTTTGTGGCATGGTGTGGAAACAATCATCTCATCTTGAATGTGAAAAAAACAAAGGAGATGATTGTAGATTTCAGGAGAAACGGGAACAGGTCCAACCCTATTTCCATCATGGGAGAAGAAGTGGAGGAGGTGGAGAAGTATAATGCCCGAGATGGGATAGAGGTAGAGCAGCTGACTTGGGACTAGAATGTCGCAGTTCGACTCCCCACCATTCCCACATGTCGTGGTGTCCCTGAGCAAGACACCTAATCCCCCAATTGCTCCTTGAATGCTTACATAGCTGAACCACTGCTCCACCTGGGTGTATCTCAGGTCTGCTGGGTTAAATGCAGAGAACTAATTTCACCATTATATGGGAACATACAATGATGACAACACATAGCACCTTACTTTAAATATCTTGGGGTTCACCTGGACAACAGACTGGACTGGAGATGCAACAGTGAAGCGGTCTACAGGAAGGGACAGAGCAGACTGTACTTCATGAGGAAGCTGAGGTCCTTCAGTGTTTGCAGCAAGATGCTGCATATCTTCTATAAGTCTGTTGTAGAGAGTGCTATCTCTTCTGTCATCATCTGCTGGGGTAGCACCAGAGCAAGTGACAACAAGCTCATAAAGAAGGCTAGGGGATAGGTGAAGCACCCACACCTGCCCCCACCCTCATTTGCCCCATTCTGGGCCCTTGAGCAAGGCCCTTAACCCCCACCATCTGCTCCCCCGGGCGCCCTAGATAGCAGCTCTCCGCTCCACACAGAGGGCTGTGGTAGCTTGGTGGTTTGTGGTTGCATCAGGAAGGACATC